CCTGGGCGATTGTTGGTGTCCTTGTGTATGCGGTTGCTGAAGTCTTTCGAGAGCTTGCGTAGCGTGAGCTTGTCGTTGTCGATGGCTTCTTGGTTGCTGATGTAGTACGATTCGCACCAGGATTCGTATCCGGCACCTTTGACAGCAGACTCGAACTGCAACCACCAGAGCTGGGAGCCGCTTGAACCAGGTAGATTGACCTCTTGTGCACCTAAGAGAGCTGTTTCCCAGTTCGCGAGCCAGTTCAGCATGTCTTTCGGCCTGCGAGTTAACGGTATGATGGCGGCGTTGTACCGGGTCATGGCCCGCTGGAGTTCTTCGCGGTCGTCTGAGCCAGCGCGTTCCTTGAGGGCTGCGTACCACTGGTCAATGGTTCTGTCGGCCTTGCAGGTGGTATCGTAGAGCTGAGGAGCTATCGTTTGGCGCATCCACGCGGTCAGTCTGTTGAGGTTCTGTCGCTCAGCTTCGTAGAGTCGCCACTCGAAGTGGTATTCCGAGAGGTCGGTCTTGTATGCATCGCGACCAAGGGCGGTCATCTCGCTGGTGTTCCGCGGTGGGTTTCGTCTGTCGATCTCTTCTACCGGGGGACCGAGAGTCAGGGCTTGCGATTCCCCTACGGTATTACTTGAAGTGGCACTTCCTGCGCGTGTGCTCCGCGCGGGAGGCGCGTCGGCGCGATCAAGGCGCTTTGGGTAGTCCTGAATGGCTGGTTTAATGGGTGCGGTCTTGAATTCGCCAACCGAAGAGCTCTTGGGGTTAATGAGCTCCCAAAGGTCTCTAGTCGCCGCCTCGGACCTGAATCGCTCGTTCCAGGCCTTCCAATTGTCAGGGCCGGTGAGTTTGACATCTTCGTTGACAGTGGTCATGGCGATATATCGGTCGGTTTTGACGTGTCTGCCGTGGCTGTTGTTTCGTTCTTCTGCGTGGGAACGGAAGTTGGGAGTTCAGGTGGCCTTCCCGGAGGAGTGTTGGAAAGCCAACAGCCACGAATGTGTCGCACCGTAGTGATTGGGTATCAAAAAAATTGGCAACCACTCAATTGATGATGATGTACCTGTCTGTGTTCTTCCAGAAGTTCCCTGCCTGTTCCTGATCCTGAGAATCCTGGTGCCAAGCCATT